TTATTTCCATCAGTTTTTATCTTTATTTTTCTATTGTCTAAATTTTTTTGGTTTTGGTATAAGTGTTTATTTAAGATATTAGCATTATGGTTCTTAATGATTTTTTCTAAGTTTTTTGTACAGCTATAACTCAATTTTAGTGTGTTTTTATTGAAAATAGTTTACTTTCACTAGGAAAATGCTTGACTTAATGCGAGGAATTTATGTCCAATTTTCTATGCTTTCCATTTTCATTTTTTATATAAGTTAGTTTTGGGTTTTTGTAGCCACTATCTTTTAGAGCCTTATTATAGGAATTGATATGCTCATCGAAAATCTTGTCATTTGCTGAATTTGTACTAATTCGTTTACTGATAGATAACAGTATATGTTTAATTATAGATGGGGGGGTGATTTGATTTAGGATGTATATATAAAGGATTGGTGTTGGTTTTTTTTATAAGGTGTGTATGTATTTTTATTTAGATCTAATGTTATATCTAGGAAGTCTACTTTTTTTAATTTAGTACTAACTGTAATTTTTAAGCCCATGCTTTTAAATTCTTTATATAATAACTTTCTAATTCTATCTATTTTGAAGTTCGTTGAGTTTCTAATAACCATAAGCCCATCGTCTCTGTACAAACCAATATCATTTGTATTAATATCATAGTGCGCTGTAAGGTTGTATAATATAAAAAGGCCAATGAGATCAGAAGACTCAGCTGAGTCTAGTGATCCCAGTGTGATGTCAAATTGGTCGTGTATGTGTATATATATATATATATATATATATATATATATATATATATATATCGGTCTTATCTTCAGTTGGACTTAATACAAGTCCAACATTCTGTTGTAGTTAGACCTTCATTTAGCAGGAAATATAAACAATGTGTTTTCTTTGCATCTACACCCCCGGTCTTCTACAGTTTAATCCGTATTGAAACAAACAAATATTACTAATTACTTAATTTTAGTTCTTAAAATGTTGGAGAACAGCATTTTTAACACTGAGAGTATGTTTTTTTACGTGTGTCGAGTAATTTAATTTATTGACAACCTGATGTTTAGGAAATTTAAGTAAGGTGGACATAAATGAAGAAAATTAATTGATTAATAAAAACGTGAATGCCTTTTTTAAAAATATAATTCTCTACTGTTAGATACTATGGCTTTTTTATACTTTAACTTACTTACGAAGACAAAGAAATTTAATGATTTAAATTTTGAGGACTTGTCATTAACAAATATAAACATTAATTTTAAACTTTAAAGGAAAGCGGTACAAAAAAATTTCTCAAAGTTTTTAAAAATTAAAATGAGTAGACTAGAAAAGATAGCAGATGTAAAAAATAATATTTTTACTTTACAAAGTTCTTCTAAAAGAGAAACATTTCAAAGAATAATTTAATTTATTTGAAAATTTGTGAATAAGTCCGGCCGGAAACTTTCGTTAAAATGCGACAATTATCTGATTTTTGCAAGAATTTCCAAATCAATGTGTTTTCACTGAAAAAAGATACTCAAATATCCCGTATGAATTTAAGGTTCCGTGTTGACGGAAAAAAAAAAACAACCAAAATTTTCAAGGTCCTAAAAAGGATAAAAAATAATTTTTACATCTAACAATCCTTTGATTTTTCCTTTAAAGTCCTAACATAACAACAACAACGTTTTTTTGGATTATTTTGTTTTTAATGTTTTGGAGCATTTTTTTTTCAATCATCCTGTATCCTCTTTTATTGAATTTTTTTGGAGGTACCCAGAAGAAAACACTAAAAACAATGTTTTTTTTGTTTTTGTTTTTTTGCTTAATTTGCAAAAAGGTAATTTAAGACTCAGTCAAAAAAACGTATCATAATTAATTTGAAAATAATACACTCAGACAGCGATTACACAATTTTACCTATACGTTATTTTTAGAAATTAACACGTGGTTGTCTGTTTTTTTCACAACAAAGTTACTCCAATCTTTGGATTACGAAATTTGAATTATCTTCAACAAAAATAAATGTCAACAATAAATTTTTAAACTAATACTTCAGCAGACTGCAAAATACTTCAGATTACAAAAATATCACAACGCAAACGATCGATATTCTACACATCATCGTATTTATTTGCGTTCGTTCGCCCATTCATTTACGATGATGTATATACCGGGTGTACTTTTGTTATGGGTCGTGTACTAAAAAAAAAATAAAAATAAATAAATAAATTGGTAATATTTTTATGCACAATTGGTGGACAATGTCGTGGAACATAGAATGTCGGGAAATTTAATTCAATGATTTCTTAGTAGAACAAATATGTTTATGACTTAACTCAAAATTGCTTTTTTAAGCATCTGGCTACGTACGATTAAAAATCCCTAGACACTTGTAAATATGACAACGACAAAATTTGAGGGCATATGATTTCATTTTAGTAGCGCAAAAAAGTAAAAAACGTATTTCAATTTTTACACTCACTACAATTTTCAATTTTTACCTTTTTAAACTAGTTGTTTTTCGTACTTTCAGCTGATTTTGTACGTACGCTGTATGAGAAAAGAAAACAAGTTAATTATTGAATTACTTTGAGTTGGCACATTGGCAAATTTACACACTAACAGAATTATTTTATACTTAGTTGGTGATAAAAAAGGAACATTTTTCTTTTGTTGGTGCTAAAAAGTTTGCCAATCTGATTGGATCTTCATTCTTCCTTCATCAATGTGCGATCATAAAAACCATTTGTTCCATGAAAAATCCTTTGCTTTTGTTTAAATGAATGTTTAATGAGAGTTCATCTCAATTCATTCAAAATAAGAAATTCGCTAGAGAAATTTTTTTTATCAGACAGCATTATCCATTCGTGTTATTTTTTGGTTGTGCGCGTTTTTTGTTTTTTTAACAACTTTCTTTACTAAACTTAGCCATTTCAAAGTTAATTTTAGGTGGGAACAAATAAATTTGTTGAGCACTGTTAAGTGCTTGCTCAGCGATCTGTGAGAAAAATACTTTGCTTTTTTTTTCTTTTTCTTTTGCAATATGCGCTTTTTAATGTATCCCATAGGTTACACATGCATGACTATTCGAATATCTTGTAGAAGGGCTACTGAGCGTTGTCTCAGAGTCCGACAACCGGAGAATTTCTTTTAGAAATTTTACTTCGTGAACTCAAGCGATTTGTACTTACTTAGTTATTGTCGATATAAAGTTCTAAACAAAGATATGTATGATTTTGACACCTTAAAAAACTTATGTTGAGTATGTAGAGAAGCTTTAAAACTTTTCAGTTGAAAATTTAGAAAGTTTTTTTTTAAGTAACATACTAATTAACTACTAACTGAAATACTTTTTTTTTATATATTTTTTTTCACACTAAGTAAATTGAAACCCAGTGTCTGTACTGTAAAAATTTACAGCGAATTTGAAGTTTGAGGTTCTCAGTGACTAACAATAAATGTTGATAAAGAAAAAAAAAAACAAACAAAAGATAAGTTTTTAGGCCCTAATGACAGGGTACGATGGAAAAAAAAAAATTAGAGATTTTGATTTTTTTGGAACAAAAATAATTGGGAAAGAAACAAGTAAAGGACAAGCTGCTTCTTAACTTCATGTATTAAAATTTCATGGAATCCAGTCAGTCAGTCATTGCAACAGACAGCAAGTTTAATTTTAAATTGTAAAAAAAGAAAATAAATTAGAAACAAACTGATTTTTATTTTCGGATGATTGTAGTTTGCACCAAATAAATTTATTTTCTGCCACCGCGATGACGCAAACAAAAGAAGACTTTAACCAAAATTTCGAATGTGTTAGAAAGGATTAAAAAAAATTCAAAAAATAATTAAAAATACTTTGGTCTTTCATCTTAATAATAACAAACATTTGATGATAAAACTTTGTTTTCGTTAAGTTTGTGGCCTCTTTCGTTACGCTATCTGTTTTCCCGCAAAAAGTGGAGGTGTCTAGACACTACACTAGGAACTATTTTTCTTTGTTTTCACAGTATTTTTTACATATAAAAAATAAGTGATAAAGAAAAGAATGTGCTCTTCCAGTGAAATAGGAAACATTATTTGATGGTTAACTTAGGGTTAAAAAAAAGAAAAAAAGTGTCGCTAATTTTTTGCTTGAGGCGTTGTTGCTCTTCTACACACAGAATCTTCTGATTAGCAATTTATCGAATTTTTACCGTAAACAGAAATTAAGCTGGTATTTTTTAATACTATAAATTTTCTTTTTTATGCTATTTAGATATTTAAATTTTCTTTCTTTACCAAATTACTCAGCATCTGAGAGACGAGTCAACAAACATTTTTAAATAAAATCAAAACTTGTTTTAAATCTCTATTCATTGAGAGTTTGACAAAGTTAAACGAAAGTCTCTTTTTTTATAAATAATTTTTTAAATAATATAAGCCATTAGTAGTTAAAACCTTAATTTTCTGATCGACACGTGTTTTTTAGAGACATCAATTATTAATAATTTAAATAAATAAATAAAAATTTATTACAGATTTAACAGTGAAAATATTGGAAGTGTTTATTTTTAAACTAGGGATCCTTTTCCAAATAAAAGATTTAAAAGGATTGTCATGATTAAATTATAAAAATAAATCGAATTGTTAATAATTCATAAAATCCAGAGAATTTCAAAACAAAAGGTCTCCAAAGAATTTCAAAGAATAAACACACACACAAAAAAACCATAAAAATTCACCTCAGAACTTTTGAAAATTTTAAAAATCACCAAATTAATGTGACATTCTTGTCAACTAGAACTGAATTAGCAAAATACGCCAAAAGTAAAAAAAAAAATACAAAATAAAAAAAAACATCAATTCACTTAGAAAGAGAGAAAAAAACCTCACGTATTAAAGTATTATTGTCTGATGATATCAGTCGGTCTTTGGGTCTGTCTACGTAGGTATTGTAAATAAATAATTAAAAAATGGTAGAGAGGGGAAATAGCTAACATTTGCTAACAATACGTTGATGAATAAATAAATTAACACAATTTCTTACCTATATTGATTAGGAAAATTGCTGTAGGGCATAAAAAAGGACCAGGAGAAGAGACCAAACTAGCCATCCACCTTGCTACCAAAAAAAAGTTAAGACAAAAACAGGAAGTTTACAGGCGAATAGCAACGAAAACGTTAAAGAGTTCCACACTAAGGAATAAAATAAAAACCTATTTTTGTGTGTGTGTTTTCGTTCGAAGAGAGACATGGATTCGGTTTACAATACTACGATTAATTAAAATTCACCTGAAATATTGGTAGTTGCCAACTAAGGACTAGTTGCTTTCTTTATTGTTTTTGTACACTTCACATGAGAGGTGATTTGGTACAGATAGATTTATACTTTTATGCTTTTGCTTTTTAAACTTACTTATGATATCATTTTTTTCTCGAGTACAATGTATAATAATCGTTTATGAGAAATGAAATAAGTGTGAATGATGACTATACTGCCAAAAGTCCATTTTAGTAGAGACACTCATCGGAGACAGCTGCTTTATATCCCAAATGAGACAATACATAACTTGTACTTAAAGTTATACTCTATCCTTTTCGCAACTTTGATGCGGACGATAAATTGATTTTAAATTTAAAACCACTACCTATGGCACACCAAGAGAGAGAAGGAAGTATTATTTTTATTTCAGTGGTTCTCAACCATTTGTTTGTATCCACGCACCCTTTTTTTCAGAAATGTCATTCACCATCTTCCGGGATTGTCAGACGAAATGTGCATTGTAGTTTAAAAAAAACGACCAACATTTCAACACTTTGCATCTGCAGGTCCAAATAAATCTATACTGAAACCCTAAAATTTCCCCGACTGAGAATTACTGGTTTATTTATTTTAATTTTACGTTTAGTGTTATGTTTTTAATTTTTTTTTTTTTTTTACACTAGATAAACGAATGGCGAAAAAATGTCCCAACAGAGTAGCTTCATTATTTATAAACTCCATAGTTGATTAATTTGCATATTTTTATTTTAACTGTTTAATTAAAGACGGAGTCATAAAACAAATAAGTAGTATTTTTGGTTTCGTAAGCACTGATCTGAGTGCTAGCAACTTACAGTAAGTTAAGTTGCTAGTTCAGTGTTCAATCAATGAAGGAAGATTAATAATTTATTAATTGTTATGTTATTTTTATGACTTTTGTGTGGTTGAGTGGACTGTGAACATATTGGTAAGAAGTTGTTGATAAAGAGAGGAAAAGTTTGTTACTACGTGTACTAAAATTTGCGCAAAAAATAATTTTCAATTTCACCAGTCGAATTTTAGCAAAGGATCATAAAAGAAAAGCAGTTATATAGCATCGAAAATTCTATACAAATGCAGTAGCAGGTAATTGAATTGAGTCCCCAAAGTTTTTTTGTTTTGTTTTTCAACAGATTCCCCCGACCCTAAGTAGGCCTCAAACAGTGTTACTTTTCAATTTTTGTTATAGATTTATTGCATATGATAATAGAGAGCATTTTTACGACCCAACACCACCGCAAAAGAAAAGAAACAGATCACTAGGACAGACTTCCCCAACTCAAACGGGGATGGTTCGTAAAAAAAAAGCACTTTTCTTTCTTTTTTATCGTTTTATCAACAAAATAAAAACGTATGGCATGGGTAGAGATTATGGAATGACGAGTTAGTTTAAATTTAGGTTTAGATTATTTTACTTTTTTTTAGCTTACATCCCGATTTGAGGAATCTGTTCCGGTGATTTAAAAAGTTTATAAACTATACTTTTTTGTGTGTGTGTCAGCTCCGAATCTTAAGGGGCCCCGGGTGTTGACTGTTATTGTTGGGAGTGTTGGGTATTGAAAATAAACACTGAATTTACCATTCAATAAAAAAAAAAAAAAAAAAAATTAATCGGTTTAAAAATTATGTTAATTGTTAAGCCTACTTCTGAAAAAGCCGTCAAGTTCTCTCGTAAGCTTTAAGTAGTTAAAAACAGATGGGTGCCGAGGTATAAGAGACGCGAGTTCAAATCTCACCAGTGCTTATCCTTTATTTCCGATCCTGGGCTGTCTAATCACTTTGACCGCCTGAATGAAATTACGATATAAAGCACATCGAAAATGTAAATGCTAGTTGAAATCTTACTTATTATAAAAACGCAGATTGTGTGTGTGTGTGTGTGTCTGTACGTTTATATATTGGATCGAATTTCCTACATTTTTCAACAAAACTTCACAGGACTACGTAAAATTACCTTGCGGTGGTTCTGACAGCGCCAAAAATTGGAAAAACACTATTGTTTTTGCACGAAATCAATTTGAAAACACGGTTAAGACGCATCACGAGAATGAAAGGGGGACAACTCATATCGAGTTATACTTATTATGAAACCCAGGTTGTTTGTGTTCGTTTATATATGGGATCGGATTTCCTACATTTTTCAACCGATTTCAACAAAACTTCACTTTTTTTTTTGGCAGGTAGTGTTTCTTATTGTCTTGCACACTTTTTTTTTTTATTTTTAAATACAGAATGCTTTAAAATTCCATTTACAAGACAATTGTTTATAATAAAATTCTATTCAATCGGTAGATCCATAACGATTGAAAACAATGTTTTTGTTTGAGTTTGGGTTTGACCAATTCGTAAAAAAAAAAAAAAAAATAATTAAGACATGCGTGTTTGTCAACCTTAAACAATAATCTTTGTCAATTTTATTTTTCAGTCTTTATGATGGTCGATACTTGATCTATCTCTTACTGTTACATCCCCGGGCAACGACGGTCTCTACTGCTAGTTAATAAAATACGACCAGTTAACTCGTAGTGTAAGAAGTTTACCAATTTTAAACAAAGAGAGTTATTTCCCTTACATTCTTTTTTTTTTTTTTAATAAATCTGTTGAAATCAAAATGAAATATAGATTTTTAAAATCAGTTATGCTTATTTTACAGGTTAATACAGTTTGGTAGAGTTTAATACAAACTTAAAATGTTATTTTCGAAATTGAAAAAATAAAAAATATAAATTACTGTGCAATAATTTCAAATTTAGGTCTTAAATAAAATTTGTTAAAATGTGATTGATTATATTTACAACTGTAGCAAATGATTGCATCGATGCCCATTTTGTTAAAAATATCTTTGCTAACAGCTTCTGGGCATGTAGAATATGAAAGATTTCAAAGATAAAATTTACTGCGTCTTTTATATCAATGCTTAAAAAATATTGTTAGTAACTGAAAAATTAAGCAGACTTGGCACAATATTTCTTTGTTGATCTAATAAATGTGTGAATGGCAAGATAATAGAAAAATGATGATAATAAAAATATAGTAAAATTATTGTTTGTTGCAAAAGTTACATATTTTAAAAAGTTCTCTGAGGTAAAAAAAAATTATTTGTCCATTAGAGAATGAGAAAAAAAAGAATAAATTAAGAAATTACACGATCAATAAGAAAACCAAATTTGCAAAATAGTTTTATATTGAAATTTATGACAAGAAAGTTTGTTCATGCAAATTTAAAATCCTAGTTTTTAATGCTTGAATTATTTGAACATATTTCAGGTGGCCTTCAAACTTTCTGAGGGAGATGTTTCCCCCAGTAACTTTGAGAGAATTTAAAAAAAAAAAAAAAGAACACTGTCATTTTATTTAGAAGTTTTTGTTATTATTTTTATTGTATTTGGCATTTTTTCAAAGACTAAACTCACAACTTTGTCAAAGTCCTTTGGTGAATATTTTTTCATTTGGAGTTGCACTTATCTTTCCAAAATATGGTTTGTTTTATTGTTATTGTTTTCCCTTAAGATTTAAGTATCAGTAAGTAGAAAACCAGGATAATGTCATATGAAGTGCTTTGATACATGTTGGACTACTTATTTTCTTCAGTTTGGGTCTGTTCTGATTGTATGTCAGGGAAATAGAGAGGCAACCTTATGTTGAACAAAAAAAAACTTTCAGCTCCATTCCCAACTGTCTGCATATGAATGGCTAGAAGCTGCCAGTCATTATTGCTGAAAGAAGACCAATATGCTGGTACTGTGACAATCATTATTTACACTATGTAAATGTAGACTATTGTCATCATCTTTGTTATTGTTATCACAATGTTCAACTGTTGTGCCCTTCAGCCTTCTTCAGGTGTATGTCAATCTGGGTAACCTACAGGAAATTCTGAACTGAACCCTTTATTTAATTTACAAAAGTAGACTGTTCTCATTCCATTGCCCATGTCTAGCGATATGTGGTTTAGTTCTTATTTTTAGTATATGCGATATGGGGGCTGCTAATAAAGAAAGACAAATCACAGCAAGTTTTCAACAGCTGCAGCAGCACTCATCAGCAGATAGGTTAGGTTTAAGGCTCCAAGATTTCCACAAAGAATTATCCTACAGGAAAATAGCCTTGTGGATTAAAGCATTGGTTTGTGAATTTATTGACATAGTGAGTTCAATCCCTGGGCCAAGCAGTGGGTACACAGCAAGCAAAACTTGAGCAGTACTAAAAATGAGAACTAAACAAGATATCTCTAGATGTGAGCAGTGTACATTGTAACCACCTCTAGTAACTCATTTTTCTATAAATTTAAAACTGTTTGAAACCTCTGCAATCATCTATTTCTTCACCTCAAAAATTGCTAATAATCAAGTCATTCTTGCCAGCACCTCCCTTCCACTTTAAATTTACATACATTTGTTATTTTTCCTCCTCATCATCATTCTACACTTCCACTACTACTGCAAATAACTAAGAGACAAAGGAGTTCTTCTATGGGGAATTCAGAGTACATCCAGATTAATGGCAGAAAAAAAGCAAATATAAAACAAAGGAAAACATTTTTCATGTTGACCTGAACATCTGTAAAATAATTTATTTTCAGAGACTGAAGGACTTAAAATCCACCACAACTTCCAGTTTGTGGAACCAGAAGGAAAAGTATGGGGAGTGGGGGACCTACCAGAAGATCAGAACAGTTGTTTACTTATTGTAAGGAATGATCCAGGTAAATGAGTATGATCAAGGAGGCATCTCTCATTAGATACTTTAAATGCTTAAATGCAGAGATCAGAGAATAGGAGAGCTAGATTCGTTTACAACTTTCAGCACATT